CCCAAAGAGTTCCATGCTCGGTCCAGTTGATTCTCCGCCCACCGCCAAGTCCCTTGCCACTGGCTCGCTGATCCGGATGATACGCTGACGGGCGCGATCACCTCGGTAACGTTGGTCTCGAAGATGTTCAGCCACCGCAATGCTGCTTGTCGCAATTCTGGCCTTGCGGCGTCGCCCATGAGTACCGGTCAATCCGAACCTGCGCTGGTCGAACTGCACCACTTCCGACATGTCCTCCTCCTGGAACTTGATCATCACAGGCAAAGCCCATGCCTGTGAGGCAAGGAGGTTCTCCAGGATGTAGTGGCCATTGGCCAACTCCTAAGCGAACTCCAAAGCTCTCAGCCTGCTTCTTTGCCAAGTCCTCGGAAGGGTTCAACCGCTGCAGCGCTGACCAAGGTCCGCAGGGAAAGGCCGACACCAGGTACTTGCGGCTTCTCCTTCATGGCCTCGATCACTTCAGTGCGGTCTTGCTCGTTCAAGAAGTCCCAGCCAGTGTCCAGAGACAGCGAGAAACAAACTAGATGTCCCCGACGAGCTGCTTCCTTCCGGACTCTTTCAGCTGTGTAGTCCTCGCACGGCCAGGGCCGCCTGTCCTTCCTGTAGCGCTCCGTGCTCTTGCCGAACTTCACCTCAAGCACAAGGTCTCGCGCATCTTCCCAGGACTCCGTGAAACGAGCTTTCACTCATTCTCGTGGTGCTTCCAGGCCTGAGCAATGAGTTGCTGGTTGCGGCGCCAAGTAGATGTGGATGTAGCTCATCTGTCGACAGACATTTTGGCGTCGCCGTAAATGCAACAGAGCCTGTGCTGTGGATATAGAAAGGTGCGCTGGTAGCGTTTGAGGTAATCCTCTGCTTGGGGGCAGCGCTGGTTGTGCTTGAGGCAGGTGTGCTGGTAGAGCATGCGGTCGCCGCACTTGCTTCTCGCCGTCGACGTTGATGGGGCCCCATTGTGTGGAGGTCTCGGACGCGTTGGCGTTGCCCATCTGCGCCATGCGCTGCGTGACCTGAGAGATCATAGCCTGGAACTTGCGATCTTGCTCTGCCATCATCACCGCCATGCCTGCCAGGGTCGCCACGGTTGGCTCCTTGAGCTTTGGCGGGCCGTAGAGAGGCAAGCTAGGCGCCTCCACGGTAGTTGCCGGCATCGGAGTTGCAGTCGACTGTCCCCCAATGGTTGGGTTTGAAGCTGCGCGGCACTCCGGTGGAAGCCCCTATGAGCATCTTGCGATTGAGCAAAGTGCCCAAGCCGCGGATGTGAAGCACAGTGGGTTGTCCGTTTGTGCGTCGGCTTGAGACATGAAGCCCTTGTTGGGCAAACTTGCAAAAGCCTTGCGTTGTTTCAGAGCAGCGTGACCGGCGCCGTCATCCTGCACAGCCTTCCCTACAGCTCGATTCTCATGTTCGGGATTGGCAAGGTTCAGGACTTCCACGAGTGCATCAATGGCGCCGAACGGTCATCCGATTGCAAGGAACTCTTGCATCGACGCTACACTCGGTATCTTCTCCTGCCTTGGCCGAGTGTGACCTCGCTGCAGCAGTGGAAGGAGCAGGTGCGCTTCTCGATGGCACGCCAAGAAGGCATTGGTTGCTCCGTGCTCGAGGACCCGTCGCTGATGGGTATGCTGGCAGCCAGATCCTCAAGAGGCTTGGCGCCAACAATTCGAAACGAGGCGGCAATGGAGGCGGAAGAGCAAGCTCGCAAAGCGCGCGAAGAAGGGAAGACGAGAATTGCCCTCCTTGAAGGCAGATCTGCTTCGATTCTGCAGATCAAGTACAAAGACAAGGTCACGGCCGAGCAAAGGCGTAGTCGCCCATCCTGGCAGACATGATGCAGAAGCATCCAAAGTTCAAGCAAACAGGCAACGGCTACTGCACCGAAAACACGCCCTCGTCCCCTGGCCCACGGCGCCAAAGGCGGGGCAAAATGACCTGCAACAAGCTGGCGCAAGTCAATCAGCTTCGCGTCCAAATGATCCGACGCATCTGTTTGCGCCCGAACCTCAAAACTACCCCAATACCAACCAAAACATCTCGACCAAGAAGTAGTCCCAGCGAAGGTACAGGGACTACTGAAACCCAAACCAAGAACCTTTTGTCAGCTGCCGGATGCCGGATTGCCAAACCAACCCCACCGACCCAAAACCCTTTTTTCGCAGCCCTAAACCAACCTTAAGCCAATAAACCAACACCCAAAGCCTAACCATAAACCAACCCTAAACCAATCGAAGCCGACCCTGAACCAAAGCCAAAACACCACAAGCCAACCCTAAACCAACCCTAAGTCAAAACGGAACCAAATCAAACCAACCGTGCCACTCCTACACCAGCCCAAACCAACCCAAAACAATTTCACTGCATCCCGAACTCACCCTAAACCAGCCAACTTTAAAGATTCAACCCTGAACAAACCGTAAAGTGACCCAAAACTTACCCTAGACCAACCCTAAAACACCCTTAGCCAATTCTAAGCCCACTGTAAGCCGACCCCTAAACAAATCCTAAACAAAGCCTAAACCAACCCTAAACTAACCCTAAACCAACCTCCTAGAGCACCCTCATCCAATCCGAGACTAGCCGTAAACCAACGAACTTCCCTAAGCCAACCCGAAAACCCTCACACAAAACACAGGCCCGAAAACCAACCGTAAACCACTCCTGCACCAACCCAAACTAACCCAAAACAACTTCACAGCACCCTAAATTCACCCTAGGCCAACCCCACACGAAACCCTAAAGCAACCAACCCTAAACGAAACCGACCCTAAATCAACCCTGAACCGAACCTAAACTTACTCTAGCCCAACCCTAAAACACCCTAAACAAATTTTAAACCACCCGAAAAAAGCCAAAAACACATTAACTTAAACAAAACAAACCCTAAGCCGAACCCCAAAACCACCCTAAACCACTCCTACACCAACCCAACCTTGCCCAAAACCAACTTGAACACAACCTAGACCAACCCTAACCAACTAAACCAGCCCCAAACCAAACCAACAAGCAACCATTGCAAAAGAACCCTAAACCAGCCTGAACCAACCCTGAAACTCACCAAGCTAACCCTAAACCAATCGAAAACAACCCTACACCAACCCTAAGCAAAACCGAAAACACCATAAACCAATACTAAACCAATCGAAACAAAATCTAAACCAACCCTGATCCAAACCCAAAGCACCATAAGCCAACCCTCAACCAACCCTAAGTCAACCCAAACAAAATCAAACCTGAACCAACCGTAAACCACTCCACTGCGCCCTGACAACTCTAAACCGAACCTAGACAAACCCGAAACGAACCCTACACCCTAAACCAACCCTAAAACACCCTAAACCAACCTGGAAACCAAACCGAAGCAGCCCCAAACAAACCCTAAACCGAGCCTAAACCAACCCTAAACTAACCCTAAGCCAACCCCTTAAAGCACCCCTAAAGCACCCCAATCGAATCCTAAACTAGCTGTGATTCTTTCTGGACAAGTCTCGGACGCGGAACCTTTGAACAGGTCGACCTCTGCGTCCTCCCTGGAATCTTTCTCTGAGGAGGAGAACAACCATCCCTAAATTGGGTCGAACGCTACCCTAAACCAACCCTGAAGCACCTTAAACCGACCCAAACACGAAACAAAGGGTGGAAGCCGGAAGCCGGAAGTTGGAAGCGGCTGGGCTGCGGGCCGGCCGGAAGCCGGAAGCCGGAAGCCGGAAGCCGGATTGGTGGGCTGCGGGCGACCGGATACAAACAAATGGTATTGTGGCACGAGAGGTGCTCTATCAGGAGGTCGCCAACACAAAGGGTCAGAAGTGCGCAGGCCCCAAAACAAACGCAAAACTGCAGCTTCTACCACGTCATACTCCTCACGATTGCCCAACGCTGTGTCAAGCCGTTCAGAAAGCCAAGCTCGCCGCCCGGTAGCGGGTGGAAAACTGCGATCCGCTCACCAGTTGGTAGAAATGCTTCCGCAGCTCGCCCCCCGTTCGCCCCGTAGACTCCTCCAAGGCGCGCACGAGCTTCTTCAGGCCCGCAAAGGTCTGTCAACTTGATCTCCGGGCCGTCGGGGTTGTCGGGGTCTACTCCATATTCCGGCTCTTCTCCCGAAAGCCCATCCTGCTCGATCTCCGCACATCTTGCTCGCACCACTCCTCTCTGTCTCAAGTTCCACCGACCACGTCGAACTTCCGGCAGCTCTCTGAATCTAGAGAGGCCATCCACCAGCTCATCTCCTTCAGGACGTAGGGTTCCTGTCTCATGTGGCCTTGAACCATGAACTTGTCCCTTTCTCTTCGCCGTGGTGCGGCTTGAATGAGTGCCACAAGAAGGTGAAATAAAAAAGGGCTCGGCCGTCAAGTCATCCCTGAGATACCAAAGGAATCAGCCGCCGTGCGATGTGTGGCGTGCAAGCACCTGCAACCACCTCCAGCGCAGCCAGAAATAGATGCCTATCATTTCTACAATGCCCACGCGCTGTTGCGAATCCTGTCAAGCAATCCAAGCGGCAAGGATGTGAAATAAGGGGTCGCGGCCTGCAAGACAGTCTCACCCACACACAAGAAACCGACTCAGCCAGTAAAATGTATGAAGAGCGCGAGCAGGATGAGTTGCCTGAAAACCAAAGTCCGGCTCCCCGCGCAGCAGAAAGAAAGACCTCGAGTGATCGGGGGTGGTCCAGCCCAATCCGGCGCTGTCAGATAAAGCCAAGCGTAAACGCAAAATCCAGGCCCCCACACAAGAACCAACGCAGTCAGTCAATTGTCTGAAGAGCGCGGTCTGGATGAATTAAAGCAGAAGCACGCAGCCGCACTGTCCGCAGGCTACGCCGTTTTACCTGCAAACCGCTGCCGTATGGCTTAGGCCTAACTGGCCGCCGGGCTTCATGCAACCAATGACCAACGCATGCTTTCTCTAAAACACAGGGGCAGTTCAGGCGCCCAACCCAGAGTCCCTAGCAAACAAACCGCAGTGCTGGAGCAACTTCGGCAGCAATTGATTGAGAAACAGTCCCCGGTGAGCAGGATGTTCTCTGGCTTGAGGTCTCGATGTATGATCCTGAGCAACACTCCCTGCAAAAGGTTGCCATAATCGAGAATGCCTCCAATACCTGTGGCGGACGCAACGTGGTCGTTTTGACTCCATGGCTAAGGTAAGCACCCGTTATGATGCAAGTGCTTGATGCCTTCGCAGACCTGCGAAGCAGGGTCTCGCTTTTCCCATTTCCAACCTGTATGACCGCAGAAAATGCTGCCTTGAAGGTTCGCGCCAAAAAAACATGCCCCACGAATTCGCATCTCAACTGGCAGTCGCCCCAGCCTGTGTAAAAACATAAGCGGCATCGGGCTCGCTTAGCGGCCCCTTCCGCCTCATCAGCCTGAGTTGGCCGCCATAGCCAACACCAAGTGCGAGAGCAAGTGACAAGGCGCCCAGCTGATACAAGTCACCTCCAGAAGCCAGTTCCAGCACAATGTAAACCTTGGCAAAATCCGGCCGTTCAGCCAAGCCCTTCATACATGCTGTGCAGCCCCTAAGCCTCTTGCTGTGTCTGCGTGGACAAAGAAGTCGAAACACCTGGCAATCCGTTGCCACAGGCACCAGCTACTGGGAGAGCCCTCCGTGTCTTTCGCAGTGGCCGTGGAGAATATGGTTCGGCAGTGTGAGACATACCGCGCTGCGCCTCAAAAGGTTGGGGTGCGACAGGTTCTTCTGTGTGTTCACCTGTGAAACTTTACCATCCAGTTGGCACAAAGCTTGAAAAGCATCCAGGCAGCCTTGGTTTGACTAAAGTTCCCAAGGTCCGCTCCTCAGCAACCAGCTGGTCTTGCAATTTGTGGTCCTCAAGCCAGGATCGAAGCATCGGCTACAGAACAAATCAGCTGGAAATGAGCCCAAGCATTACATTTTGGCAGTGGCATGTTTCAACAAATTCCCCTGCCGGCTTGGAATCCTTGCAACCGCTCGCCGGACAACGCATCGAATTGAATTGGGGAGGATTGGACCGATTTGGATCGCAAAAGCCTGTCAAAGGATATCCGAGCTTTGACACATTTGTGTGCTGCTCAAAAGCATCTCTCAGTCGCGACAGTGAGACGCGCACAAGAACGCGCTTCTTGTCAACTGCCTTGAGGGCGTAAGCCTTAATATCAATGGTGGCTGTGCAATCTTGGCTATACAAATCAGAACTCCTTTGCTGCTGCCGGCAAGAAGCTTTTTGCTTGGAGATCAATAGCTTGCTGCTTGCGAGATTGCCGAACACTGCTCTTCCCACCATCAGTAAACTGATTGCTATAGTGCTTGTTGCGTAATACCTAAATTACAAGGCGCCGTGGGCTGATTTGTGATGCTCGGCTGAGGCCTCTGCATCTCCAGTTGTCCTATGCATGACCTTCTTGACCAAACCCATGCCTTGGCCGGGGAAACAGCCCTGCAGAATTGAAACTAAAGTGCACGTGACAGGGAATCATCGAGTCGTGGAGTCTTGGCCAGCTTCGCTTGAGAGGAGCGCTTCCCTCGCCGAGGCTGTTGAGGGACACAAAGTCATCAAGGCTAAACCTGGCGCATGCTTTAGCCTAAGGGCTGGCGAACTGGTGTGTCGCCGGATCACTTGGCCTGCTGCTCGCTCCCCATTCCTGGGCCAAGGAATAAAAAAGGCACAAGGAGCTGCACCTTTTTCTCAGCACCAAGCATCACCTCCAGATTGGCTGGATTTGCTCATGGTCATGGACGCTGTAGGCTATTCAGTGCATGGCTTGATTGACATCCATTTTGAGTCTTCGAGACAGTTGGCAGTTTGCCGCTGCTGATTTGACGGGCAGTCACGCAGGTTCCCAACTCCATCATCCATAACGCATTCAGATTTCTTCGACTTGGGGGTTGCGTATTTGTACGGTTGGTATTAACAGGACCCCATCGCTGCAGGTGGTGTGTACCGCCACAGCCGCAATCACGCGCATCGAAGGCGGCAGATTCAATTGCAGCAAGCCAGGAGCAAGCAGCTGTCATCACGGCCAAGAGCGAAGCAGAAGAAAGGCAACCCAAAGCGGAAACAGTCCCTTACACCTTCTCAGTAGGCAAGTTCAAACGCAAAAGCCCGTCTGAAAGATAGGGTTTGTCCTTAGGGGATGCGGATTACATAAATGGTCATGATCTATACTATGCGTGGCGGACTTTCTGCTGAGCTCGGGCTGGCACCTTGGCATGGAATGGAGCAGATGGGAGGGTTGCCTCACAAAATGGGAGCCACCTGCAAACGTCGCTTGGAGTTCTGGCGCAAAGTGAAAATTCATGAACTGCTTGATATATCGGGTGGTTGCCCATGCAACAAACGCACGCCTGGGCCTCCAAGTTTTCGTCTGTCACCTTGCCCGTGACAGGAGTGGGTTTGCCAGTCCCAAGTGGCACAGCGTGTGAAAGTTGCTTGGCTGCCTGTCATTTTGAGCGCACACTGAACCCTGTACATAGGTGCTCTGCAGCCTATTAAAAGGCCCCTCGTTGTCACAGTGCTCTCTCTTGCACCAAGGATGTGCGAGTGGCCGTCTGTATTCAAGCAAATCCACACAGCACGAGTCACGTGCTTAACGCGGACGTCACGCCGCCGGGATACCTAAAAAATTGCAGATCTCTCACATTTACCTGACGAAACAAGCTTTCGCGTGAAAGGCCGACGCAACATCTGTTGGACGCTTGCCAGTCTACTTCTTCGTTTCAATAGACGGGTCCACATCGGAAGGAGTGAAGTACAGGCTTGCGTTGCCTGGCTTCACGCCAAGAGCAGGGAATTAGGGACTTCTAGCGCTGACTGCAAACCCAAAACGAAGCTGGTTTTGGAGGGAATGAGATTAATTCGTGTTTAATTTGCCGTAGATGCCTTCGGATATGCAGCTCAAGGCTTCATTCTTGCGCAAGACCTGCCACAGCGAGATTCGATCTTCGAGCTTGGGCACCTGCAAGGGCAGTGGCCGGGGAGGACCCTGAACGAAATCACCAGCGGCATGTCTGACAAAAAGAAATACTTGACACAGTCGGAACTTGAACCCGCCTTCAAGTAGCCATCCTGTGAACGGTTCATTCTGCATTAGACATTGTCATAGCCCTTTACTTGCTGCGCCCTGCCTTGGCATCAAGACCGGCGACGAAAGCAGCCACCTGGATGTCCGTGACACCATCCAAAACCCTGCCCAAGCGCTCCAGAATGTCCGTGGCCCCGCCCCAGGCTAACCCGATATCTCCCGGTTCAGTCATCGTGTCATGGCGCTTGATGAACAAGAACTACCTACAGTCGACGCGCTTGATGAACAAGTTCCGGGTCTCCCTCCGACGGCCTTTGCTCCAGCAGAGCTTCGCAATCTCCGCGTAGGGTTCTAAAAAAATCTCCTTGGCTGCCCGGTCCGCTTCTGATTGCTGCCGTAGAAATCCTGGAGCTCCCCTGCCTCTTGACCTGGAACGCAAGCGCATGGGCAGTCATTGAAATTCAATTGACCATTGGTGACTGGCAAGCGTTCAAAAGCCCTTTCAGTCAAATGCGGCCAGCTCTGGCTGAAGAAATGACTCCGCTCGCGCAACTGTCAGGCTGCGCTGCAAAGCAGGCTCGTGCAACTTAGCTCTGTGCAAGATGGCTCTGCGCAACTTGGCTCTGTGAAGTTTGGCTCTACGCAAGCTACTTTGTGCGCAAGGCGCTCAGCCTGAGCTGAGCTGTGGAGGTCCTCCACGCGCTATACGTCTGCGCTTTAAAGTTGCGCTTTTCCAGCTGCAGCTACCAGGAGTACACTACGGCTGCTTTGCTTGAGCTGGAGCTGCCGCGGACCAGGGGGGAATCGAACCTGCGACCGCGGGAGTGCGAAACCAGGCGCGCAAACCGAGACAACTTCCAAAAGCCATTTCGCGAGCAAGAATAATCGCACAACGCCACAGCGAAAGCGCTTCGTCGCGCACGATCTCCGCAGAGGGTTCGCCGAGACTAAGACGAATTCGCACGGCGCCATAGCGAGAGCACTTCGACGCGCACGATCTCCGCAGAGGGTCACGCGCGGACGATAGTAGGAATCGTAAAAAGTCCTCAGTTTTTTAACCTTGACCACACGAATCTCTGCAGCGCCGCAGAAATCGTAAAAAAGTCCAGTTTTTCCACCTCGACCACGCGAATCTCCGCAGATTGTCGCGCACGCGCCGCAGCAATCGTCAAAAGCCCTCAGTTTTTGAACATCGACCACGCGAACCGCAGAGGGTCGCAATCCCGAGCGACGATCAAACTCCTACCCCAGCGCCTTAGAAACTTCAACTGACTTACACAGCTGCTTACGCCGAAGCGCAACTTGGCTCTGTGCCACTTGGCTCTGCGCCACTTGGCTCTGCGCAACTTGGCTCTGTGCCACTTGGCTCTGCGCAACTTGGCTCTGCGCAACTTGGCTCTGTGCAACTTGGCTCTGTGCAACTTGGCTCTGCGCAACTTGGCTCTGTGCAACTTGGCTCTGTGCAACTTGGCTCTGCGCAACTTGGCTCTGTGCAACTTGGCTATATGTAGCTTGCGGAAGAGCCCTTCCCGATGCTTTCGAGAATAGGGGAGCGAGGCTCAAGTCACAAGAACTAAAAGAATTGAGAGAAAGGACTGCAAATGAAGAGGCATGCAGGGAAATGAACGCAGCTGAGCGGAAATGAAGCGACATGAAAGGAAGTGGAGGGAAATGTAAGGAAATCGCCGGAAATGCAGGAAAGAGCAGGAAAATGACGTAAGAAGGAAATGAGGTTAAACTTGCGGGAACTGAAGGGAATTGAGGGAAAGGACTGCAAATGAAGGGAACTGAAAGCACATGAAGGGAACGGGAAGGGCACGGTGCCCTGTGGCCGGCTGTGTCGCGTCAGCGTGTAAATCCGGACTCGCCGCGCTACGTCGCCCAAAGGCGCACAGGCTTTGCCTTCCGACTGACGGTCACTGCCGCCGACCCCTCGCGTCGTCTGCATGTCCAGCGCCGCCCGCGCAGCCATTGGAGCTCGAATTGGGGGCAGGCTCGAAACACTGAAAATATTTGGCGAACCGGCTGCATTGCCAGCATCGCCAACGCTTTTGGAAGCCCCTTGTGGTTTGCGCATCGCCCGCATCCTTGCATCGCCCGCAATTCGGGCAATTCTTCCCCAAGCCATTCCTGATGACACGCGCGCAATGCGTGCGTCCGTGCGTCCGTGCGTCGCGCGGGGGGCGCGCGGGGCGGCGGAAAAAACACGCGAACGTGCGAGCGGACGCGCCACCCATCCATCCACACCCATCTACCCGCCCGCCACATCCCATCCATCCTTCCCTTCCTCCCTCCCTGCCTCCCTCCCCCCCTCCATCCATCGCGTCCATCCATCCAGCGGAGCACGAACCTTTGTCGCTAAGTGAGGCTGAATGGGAAATCATGCCATGGACTTCTGCTGCAGATTAAGTTCAAAGTCGGCAGCAAGAGGTGTCTGCTGCAGTCTTGACCCCGACTGAGTTTTTGGACGGCCGCATTGGGGCATCGAATGGTAAAACGATTGATAGCGGCTCGTTTGGTGGTTCCATATGCTTCCATGGAATCATTGTTGGCACAATCTCCGGCATGCAAACCACATGTCAAGCACCATGCTCCACCAAGACAAAGGCCATCATCTGGGAAACGTGGCCCCGTAGCAAATCGAATCCCGAGTGCCTCTGCATGGCGCCGCCCTGCGTCGGGCTCCAGGGGCGCTGGGCCCTCACGGCCCTCCGGGTCAGGCATTTCTGCGGCATGGAGCTGGGGACGCAAGCGCTGGAACTGGGAACGAAACTGCGGTGGATGCCGGCAGCCTCAATGCTGATGTCTCCGCAGTTCCAATCAGCCACACGACCGTCCCATCACAGCACTCAGCCTGGTGCTTTCTGAAGAACACGGCGGCAACCGTATCCCCTGCCAATTGCAAAGTGGACATGCTCTAATCCAAGCTTGAAAGTTTCATCGGCTTTAAGTTGTGTTGTATTAGCACGATGCATTCATACGATGAATGAACCCAAACACCTATCTGGCGACTTGCTTCCGTGTGTGGCTCAAAGCCTATCTGGCTGGCAAGCAAGCTTCAAGCTCCAGGGCATCCGCCTGGATACCTCAGCAGCCCAATTGCCTCGCAAGCTCAGCCCCCTGATGAATGAGTCAACTGGGTCAATGACTATGACTGTCTTAATGATTTCGTCGTTGACTACGACTGTGACTACTGCGTGAATGACAGGTGGGTCAAGGACTGGAATTGGGAAGGCACGGAAGCCTGGCGAAGAGCCCCGTGCGAGAACGAGTCAAAGGCTCGAGGTGGCCGATTCAGGGTAAACAGCGCAAAGGAATATGGTCTGTCATACGACCTAGCAGGTACAGCTAGTGCATGTGGGTGGCCACAAAAAATGGATGTCGGCATTCTAACACTTGGTGGGACTTTAGATGTAGGTAGAATCTGGGAGGTCGAAAATTGAAGCATCCAAACGAAGAAGTCCCAACACATTTCTTCTGCGACTCGATAACCTGTACACCTGCCTGCCATGAAGGTAGGGGATGTCGGAAGTCGCGTGATGTTGTTGCCAAACTGAGGACGGCACGAGCATCCGAATTCGTCAGCATTATTTAGCTTTCGCTTCCCCCAGCCTGATTCATTTGACAAAGTGCCACATCATCATGCTTGCCCATGTTTGCTGGTTGCAAAACCCTTGCGTAATTATAATTCATGAAAAAAGGCTCCTCAATTGCTCTTGCCTTTCTGGGATGCCTGGAAGGGCAAGTCCGCTTTTCTCGTTTCGCACTGTCTGCGTAGGTGAAACATTGCCACAGCTCTAAGCTCCTCTCATGCCTCCATCAAAAGGCCGTGTCTCTTGGCCGCGTCTTACAAACTGCAATCTGCAGTGGCACATGCCTCAGGCCAAATCAAATCCTCTCCTGCAAGCGCTTTGATACAGTCCGCAGCTTGGTGTACACCTTTCCAGGAGCACTGCCGAGAATTAAGCTACAAATGGAGTCACGTGCAAGTTTGATGTTTGCAAAGGAGCCCAGAATGTGGATTTTGTCCTCACATAGTGAGATGCGTGTGCGGGTCGCATTCTCAATGGCGTACTTGGTCTTGCCATCCTTCCCCGCAATGCGGCCTATACACCTTGACAGGTGGTCGCCTTGCAAGCGCTTCACATCCTTCACCTCAAAGGACTGAATGAAGAGGTCGTCCAAACGCAGCAGCGCCACAGCATCGGGCTGGTCAAAGCCCAGCATGAAAGCCTTCATGTAGTCCGCGGCTTTCTGCAAATACCCAATGTCCAGTGTGTGCTCGGAGTTGCGCACTTCTACTGCGCGGCGCTTGGTATTCATCCTAACCTTGGATCAAATTGCTAAGTGAGAAAGGGCAAATAGAAAGTCGTCAAGTTGTCAAAAGTCACAACACTATGCGCCCTTTTCGGAACCCTGCTTTCATTGCTGGCCCACTTCGAATTGCTGGTCCAAAAGGGCATCGATTCCTTCAAAGTTGACTGAGCTCCAAATGAATGGAATCGATGCCTGGAGCTTCATGTGTTCCACCAGCGGGTCGATCAGCTGGACCCACGCTGCCTTCAAGGGCGTCATCCTGCCGAGAACATGCATCCTGGAGTCACCTTATGCCAGATTTCCACGGACTCCAGAACAGAATAGAAAGGAGTAGAAAGGAATAGAAAGGATGTCCTTTGGAACACAGTCATTCAGTCTCCAGTCCTGTGCGGAGGCACGGGAACTCGCCGCATCTGCCGCTTGATGCCTTGCTGCTTCCTCAGCGGGTCAAGTGTCCAGCGTTCGAAAAGCGCATTGTCCAGCGTTCGAAACAGCAGACCTCTCAGACCTGATCCTAATGCCCGTGAGCATCCCGCCTTTCCTACTTACTTGTGACAAGCTTGCAGCTGGGGTGCGGCGTGAGCGCTGCAAACTGCGGCTTGCTGTACGGCACGCCCCCATCCCCCTCTCCCTTGCCATCTTCGTCGATAATTTCCACCACCACATGCTCCACTTCAGTTGGTTGAAATACGATCCCGGAGACCGTTTCGCCTCGGAGACTCAAGCGCAAGGTGGCCTGGTGGGCATCCGGTTTCCTCTTGCTGCATGTCCTAAGTTTGTCCCAGTCCCATTAAAGTGGGGGTCTTAAATGTTGGAAACCCCCATTGTGGCTGTTCACTTTTCGGCTTCAATCGGATGATGCGGTTGCTTGCCAAACCGAGAACGTATATTGGATGGTTTTGAATGAAGCCAAATCCAAGTCGTGCGAGCTTGTTCCCGAGCTGCCGCTGCGGCGGATGGGGCCGTAGCCATTTTCGGGCCCCTGCTCCAGGTCATCATCGTCCACGGGCACGGGGGTGTCGATGGCTTTTCCTCATGCTTTTCCACCAAACTCCAGGACTCAAGTCTCCGGCCAATCTTGATTGAACAATATGTGGTCAAATTCAAATTAAAAGAATCAAGTGCACAGCTGTTAACAAAAAGGCTCAGTCTAGTTTACCTACCGGAAAACGTGGTCGGTCTTGCAGCAAGTGCTCCGTGCTGCGCAAGTTGAACCGACATGCTTTGAAAACTCGCCAAGACCTGCTGACTGATCGCAACCAAGGGTCGTGTGACAGCGTCCATTTGGTAGCTTTCTCCGCGGGAGAGAGTGCTGAACACTGAGGAACAAGCAAAATCTTACGCCTTCAAAAGCTCGAGCCAATTTTCAATGCAAAGTTTTCGAAAGCAGAATTGGCATAGGGAAGGATTCAGAATGCATCGATTGCAAACCAGCTGTGACTTCTGGATCGATGCCTCTCTGAGCCTTGGGAGTGCAGCTCGGTTCCCGGGCGTTGCGCCTCATTCCCCAAGCGGATGCACATTCCATGCCTGTCATGTTTCAAGAGGGGAGGACCTGTGAGGCAACACATTCGATGTCCAAACATGGCAACACCTAAGCCTTTTCACATTCACCCAACCATTGAGTCTTCTCTCACGGACCCTTTGAAAGTCTCCAATACACAGCAAATGCCTCGGCGTCTGTTGCGTGCCTTGCTTTCGTGTCTTGAGCTTCGGGTTCCAAGTAGTCAGCTCCCTGGCGCCCCAGCGCACGCCCCTCAAAAATGGCTTCTTCTTGCCTGTTGTTAGCCATCCACTGATGGCCTGGCCAAAGGTCCCTGCTTCCATCAAACAAGAAGTGTGGACGAAACCACTTCGCGGTTGGTGTCTTGAAGCTTCTCAAGCAAGCAAGCAAGCAGGTCCGCTGCAGACTTGTACTGCACAAATGAAATCTGCCCCGAGAAGGAGGTCAAGGAGGTCCCTGATTTTCAGACATGCCAATGTGTCACGCCTGGGTGGGTATGTAGCAAGGAGGGCTCTATCTGGCGCATGCCGTGAAACTGACCATTGAAAGCCATGTACAACTGGGAGCTAAGCAAAGGCGCTCTCAAGTTCAAAGCTGTCTGAGTTTCCCAATCAGATTACAAGCCCCGGTAAACAAACAAATCTCCTTTCTGCTTGGCAGCTTGGAAAGCATTTTCATCTTCAACGCACCGCAAACGGCAGCACAGACCGGCACGCAGGCCGGTCCGCGCATAACAGCCTCACAGGCCTGAGCCTCGGGCACAGGACAGTCAACGGGCAGCAGTCGGGGGGGCTTTCGGCTTGAGGACAAAAGGTCGTGAATGTGCGAGGGTCAAAAGGTCTCCAGCGGCAATGTTTCATCTTGAAGCCCTTTAACACGTGCATCTGCAGAGCGAGTTATTCCCCCCGCAATCAGGCAATCCTGCCAAAAGCAAGAAGGGCAGTGAGGCGTTCCCCTTCTGGACACATGCTGAGCAGCGGGCCGAAAACATTGGGTTCCGGGTCCTCCAAGGAACAAAACATGTGAACTTTAATTGGGACCCCTGGGTAGACATTAGGTGGGGATTCATGTCCGGTTCTCCATCAAAATCATAGCCAGATCACAAACAGAATGAGAGACAGAGAGATCCGTGCCAATGAAGAATCCCAATGCCAAGCCCTTTTGAAGCAGCCTCTCGGCAGTCACAAAGCCAGCGTCAATCTAGTGCCCTGCCTTGCTACCCCTTCCGTCCGGAAGATCGGGCGCCGGCCAGTTGTCCAGCATAAAGTCCTATGCTCAAAGCGTGCCTTACACTGCAATGTCATGGTTCGCCCCCCCAAAGTTTCAGGCAAACGTGCCTGGTTTTCGGGATTAGGAAATTCTGGGACAGGAACTGGGGAATGAAGGAGTTTGAGAAATTAGACGAATTCAGGCACTTCACCTTGCGTTATCAGAAAGCACAAAATTATCAGTGCATATGGCTTGTGACCACCTCCATTTCATGCACGCAGAAGAAGTAGTTGTTGCCTTGGAGCCACGCTTCACTCCAGCTTTGGGTTTCCGGCCAGCTGGGCATTTCTCAAAATGAGCAGCCAAACTCAACAGTTTTTGGACCGCATCTTGCAAGGCTCGTTGTAACTAGAAAGAGGTCTCTGAAGGCGGCATGTGATTGCACCAGGCTGGCCAGGGCACAACGAGAGTCAGAGACGACGATGATGTTTCGCTCGAAGTTGGTTGGGTACCCCCAAAAACATTTTCCAGGATAGAGCCACCTCGGTTGCGCATAATGTGAATCACATCGTGGAAGGTATATAGGGTTGGCACCCTCGGCGCCTTTGACAACACCGCTGGCGGCGAACTACACGAATCTCGATCAATGACTCGATAGGAACAGAACGAGTCCTGCATGGGGCAGGCAAAACATGTCAAGCAAAAATCCTGCATGTGTTGCATGTCCTGCAGCAAAACATGATTAGCAGCTTGTCATTCTCTCGCACCTGTGTGGTCAGACTTTGGTCATGGCTCCACTGAGAGGAACCTCATATCTCATATCTGAAATGCCCAAACAAGAGCTGATGGAAACTCCTAATCGCCTCATTCAGCCAGACATTTTCACCATGTCCATGTAACTTCCCGAGTCAATGGTGCCCAACAGCCAGCGATGGCCGAATGGCCAAGCCGAGCTGCTGACAACTCGTCTCGGGACTTGCAGCAAGATGATGAAGAGGGTGATGCAGCTCTGGCAATCGCTTTCATCGCTTTCACCAGAAGGCCCCAACAGCACGCACGTACACGATGAGTTCGTTTCGCTTGACAGGTTAACACATTCGTAAGTGCGTGCAGGTCACATATGCAACGTCAAAGAGCAGTAGCTGCTCGAAAGATATGCCTGCCAGTCTTATACATATTGCTCAGTGTCGGTCACAACGCTTGACACAAGCACCCAGGCGCCTCCGCTTTCAGGCCCTCTCCTCGGTAAGAAACATGTTTCTAAGTGTGGAGCATAGCAAAACCATGCTGTTTGGTTCCAATAAACCGCGATTGAATCAATTGCGCGTCGCGCGATGTATGTCTGGGTGATTTTGATGTCTCCGCCTCTGTCACTGAGTCGTTCGCTCTGGTGTATAATACAAGACGATCGTGTAGGAAAACCTGATCCAACACATCTCTCTACGGCACATCTGTTTGTGGCGACAGGAAATCAATGCCTAGAGCGCGTCGCTGCACAGCTACTGGCTCCAGCACAAACCACCAACCAGGATCCTTCAGGGTCAAACTCACCCAAAACCTGGGTACTCAGCCACCAATTTAACAGCCCGTTGGTGGTCCTAATAATGAAATTACAGCGCAGCATGCTCAATGCTATAAGTGTACCAAGAAGCACGAAGAACGTCAAGAAGACCAAATATGCAGCAAAGCCTTCAAAGCGCAAGGCACGTGTTTTCTTTGGCCCCTGGTTCCCATCATGCTCTTGCAACTCTAGCAGTCAAACTTCGCAATTCGTAAACAAATACACATCATCCATCCATCCAACCTACCTATCACTCATCTAACGCATCTATCAACCTATCTGTCTACCGTTCCACAAACCTATTTGTCTATCGACCTATCTTTCCGGTTAAGCCCGAGGCCAAAAAACCTTTTAGGTTCAGCCCGTCACTTGCGAGGCCCCTCAGGCCCGTCAAACCCGTGAAGCCGCTAGTGTCAGCCCCATCAGGCCCGGCAGGCCCGTCAGGCAGGCCCGTCGGGCCCAAAGTGAACGGTGAGCGGCCACTTCTCGACACTTGCGCGCCCCATCGAGCTACTAACATGTTGGTGGAACCCGAAGCCACAGAGCTTGAGTATCACTCTGACTGCGGCAACTCATGGCACGAGCTTGGGCACAAGAACGTAGCAAACCCAAACCAACGACCGCGCGCCACCGGCACCTCGTACAACATCTAGGGGCGCTGGGGATGCGGATGGCCAAGCCTGTTTTTGCCCACGGTAATGGAGAGTAGATGGACAGATAGATGGCTAGGTAGATAGCAAGATTCATACAAAAGAGGACTTTGTGGAGGCTTGCGATTTTTCAGTTTCCCCTACCAGCCCCTAGCCTCAGTTTGCAAAATTCCAAAACGCCTTGTTTACTTCAAAAACTTGATTGAAATTGCATGTGATTCAGTTGCTTAGATTTAAATTCAATGGGGCACTATAGCTATGAATTGAGCTATGCGTCTTAGTACCTTATACACTTAGCTAGTGTTTGCTGCTTGAGCATTTGCATGAATAGGACCACACTGGCCAGCCTCTTGCGCAACTCATGATACGGGATGAGAAGCGGTCGCTAAAATCAGTGTTAGCTGCGAGAGACCTTGATTGCTGCTTTGCCTCAACCTTAATGAACAAACACTTGTGGCAAGAAGGCGCAGGAGGCTAGTGCTAGGAAAAAACACATGCTTGTCGGCCCATTTGCGTGTAGTTTTCTCATGGCGCGCCTTGTGCGCCACACCCTCTATGGTAATTCAATTAGGTGGAATTGGACGGCATACGTTTGTGTACGTGGCTTTGGCACACAGCTACATTTGCCATAACCTGCAGCAGTGTCATCAGGCCGCTAGCCTGCTATTGGATAACATAGACAGCTCAGCTAGCGTCAGAAATGGATACCTCAGTTCAATGAAATCTGTGTTTTCTTGCAAAAAACACTAGCGCTCTTTCATGTAGCGCGATGTAGCTCAAAGCATTTCTGTGTTCCATTGTTTCCTGGGTTTCTGAACATAAGTTTTTTGGGGCTGACCGTAGGAGGCCTGTGGAAGGCGCAAGTAGAATAAGTCACTCTCTTACCTCCTCCCGTGCCATCTATTGCATGCCACCAGCAAGCATAGGGGCTGGAGATCCTATCCCCACATGATCTGCCAGCAATCCATGGCCAATGGAAAGGCTCAATCCCCAAGCTCAGGTGGCAGCTTGATAGCCTATAGTACGTGCATTTCTTTCAACAAGGATGTGGGGGAAGGAGCCCACAACTGGCAGAGGTGCACTGACCTCTTGCGAGCTCCAAACATGCAAAGTCAATGCAGTGGGGCGGTTGGTCAGATCCTTGTTTGCTGGAACCAGCATCTTACATTTCCACTTGGCACGCATGAAGCTCACGCCTGCGAAAGTTGTGGTGATCCACTTCTCTGTGAACAAAATAAAATGCACTTACCGTAGGCTACCAAGGTGCCATCTGAGCCTGGGGGGAGAAGTTTATTTTGGCCTGGAAACCTCGCTCCCTACCTCGCTCGCTCTCTCTCTCTCTCACTCTCGCTCTCTCCTTCTTTCCCTCTCTCTACCCATGAAGAGAACTCAAAGACGCGTGGCGCGAATCATCACAAAAACCAGAGCCAGAGCAGGGGAAAGTCAAGCCGGCAAAAAAAAACATTTACAATGTTCAGGCACGAGCTTGGGCACCGTACGTGCTTGGACTTGGTTTTTCGAGCCGTCGCTGCGCCAGCACGTTGCGTTAATCTTGCAGATTACAGCCAGCGCGGCGCCAGCGGGCCTTGCGCGCAAACTTTCGTGTTTGAAAGCCAGCGTTTTCCAGCTAGAGCTGCGAAAATGTATTTCACGGACTGTTTTTAGGGAAACCTGCTATTCGAAGCTCGCCCAGAACAAGAGAAATTCGAGCGGCGAAGCCGCTGGCTTCAAAGAGCAGCCGCGGAAACCACGACACACACTGCCGAGCCCGTTTTCGAACAAGACAGGTAGCACTCCGCCCCACCACCTCATGTTCTTAACATTGACCAGCTCGATCTCCGCAGCGGCCGCGCGAGCAACTCAAAAGTAGCGTCACGCCGGCCAACGCAGCGGGCCATCCAAAGTCGCCACCACCCAAAGCAAGAGCGCTTCAAACCGCACGATCTCCGCAAAGGGTCGGCTGCCCGATCGACAAGTCGGCACAGTTCAAGGTGTAGTTTATTTACTTTGGAACGTAGGCGTAATTTGGTGAAGGTGGCGTATCTTGCGAAAGATCTTCGAACCTCAGTCGCGTCTGAGTGGTCTCAAGCATCACGGATGACGCGAAGATGTGGCATGAGGTCATGCAACAAGCAGCGCTAGCACCTTCTGACAGCGGTCTCAAACAAACCTTTGGTCAAGGATGCGTCACGAGCGACACAAACTCTGAGCAGCATCAGTGCGTAAAACAAAACCCGGCTTTGGCGACGACCATCGATGTGGCCAGCGGCGTTGGATCAGGCAGGGAAACACATGGTTCACCCTAATCGGCCCTAAACCTGTCCCCAGATCAGCTCGCGCCACTGCCCTTTCTTCACAGCCCCGCTCATGTTGGCGAGACATCAGTTTTCACGATGGGCACCTGCACCATGTTTGCTCGATCGCTCGCGATTGTTCGGTTGGTCATGAGGGTCATGTACATGGAAATACATGGCCACGCATGGCAATTGCAATTTATGAGGACTGAGCCTAGACCAGGAACCGCTTGGCTGCCGCGCTCTTTGGAAAAGGTGGGACCGCGTTTCCCTCATTGTCGGAGGTTCCAGAAGGAGAGGCCATGGATCACAGAGCCGCCGCCTAACGAGGGTGGGGAGGAGGTCCGCCCCAACACGAACTTCATTAAGTTGAGCGCCCTCGCCAAGATGGAGATGCTGGAGGTTTGGGGATTCGACCTCGGCCTGGGGTGAAGAAGCTGAGGTAGACAACACGCCACGCACTCGCGAATCAGTCTTACTTGTAAAGACAAACAGAACATGTTTAGCTTTAGCGTGTGACCGCCCGAGCAGTTTGATAGATCGACCGGATCGCCTTTCAGCCCCTACGCTCAGCCTGGGTCAAGTGGAGCAGCTCTATGAGGAGACAAGCTACGCTCCCAGGAACACCAACCAGGCCTGCATGGATGCTCGGACACTTCAGTGCCTCTTCAGCTTCCGTCTGCGGAGGCAGAAGGATGCAGCCAAAAGAAGCCAGCAGCCACGTGCAACTAGTCAGCACACGTCAGCACACATTTTCCAGACAGGCATGGTAATGGCCCCTGCACACATGATGGTGCCCCAAGTTTCTTGCACGCGTACATCTTTGGCCAAACCAAGCAGTCCGGACGCTTTTTGAAGCTATTGGTGATGCCAAGAAGGCAGACCAGCAACGAAAACTCAGGGGTTCTGACAAAAACGACAGCGAGGGTGAGGAAGATAGCAAGGATGATCACAATGACCCGCGTTGTGGATAATGACAAGGGCCAGCAGTCGACGCGGATGAGGCCGACGCAGATGAGGCAGCTGCTGCGCACGAGCAGCGCAAAGCGGCGGCAGTAGATAAGGCAGTGGTGGGATCCTGATGATGCGGAGATTTCGGAGAAGAGGGATGCGCTGCTTGACGGCAGTCAAGCGGATGTGGCGCTCATTTCGGACACGCCTGAAATGATTCGGGTCTCCCGATATCCTTTGTTACGCCCATTCGACCAGGACCCAGGCGCGCAGCCAGCCTTGGAAAGCGCCCAGCAGGACTTTGACACCGTTTTGCATACGCCACCAACTTAGACATTCTAGCGAACAAAACACAAGTGCAGAATCCTATCTTGATCAAGGATTCAATCCCTCTAGGCCAAGAAGCCAAGAACAAGGACAAGCGCACGCATGCGCAACATGTTCATGGGGGCCGGCACACGCTACCCTCAGGAGCTGGCCCCTGAAGAGTCGGAGGACTCGTCATTTTACGAGCGCCCCCACAGCACAGTGAACCCCAACGCGCAGCGCCAAGCCAGACCTCACAAGGAGAAAACAACAAAGCTCCAAGATCTGGCACGACCTTAAGGATCTCGATCAGGTCGCGGTTAGCGAGGCAGAGGACAGCGCTGGGAGCCCATGCGAGGATTTCGAGATCACCAAAGAGGCTACAGGGGGCTCGACCGACAAAGTGCCCAAGAAAGCAAAGGCCAAGGCAGCTGGCAAAGCCAAGGCTGCAGCGCCAAACCTTGGGCACTTGCCAAAGCCAAATCTGCAGCCGAACCCAAAAGCGCGCGCCACAGCCAAGCAGCCACCAAGCCCAAGGCAAGCCAAGGCGCAGCCTGAGGACGCAGCCTTGAGGAGACAGTTCAGGATGGAAGGGGGCCGGATGACAATTCTGTCGGGAAATCCCAAGGATGTCTACATGCAGCCAAAGGCGGCCCTCGAAGAAGAAGCTGAATATACCAGTTTACATGCGTAGCACGATGATCTTAAGCTGCGCTTGGGGTTGATCCAAACATGGAGTGAAAATGGCGCGCGCGCCAACCGTCGACTTGCAACACGCACGCCAGCAAAGCACGTGTGTCTACACACTCGTGTGCTACGCACCAGTGTGCCAGGAGCGGATCACGAGCCGAGTCTGGAATATTCGGCGCGCCTTCTGAAGGAGCACCCTCGTCCATCAGGCGCTTCGCCTGCAGCAGTTTGGGGGAC